TATATTTTTCTCTCCGTTTTGGCCTTCCATCCACATTGAGACGCCGTTTTAAGTCAACAAAAACGTATCGTTTGGAAAACGCTCTTGAAAACGCCGTTTTCGCGTTGTAGTGTGGACAGTGAAACCGGAGGTATTTCAAAACGATGACGTAAGTTTAGTCATGTGATCCATGTAGTATCAATAGATATTCATGTTTATTGGTATTGTGCCTGTTATATGTTATTTCATTTTTACACTATTGCTAAAATATTTTACTTTCTATGTTACTTAATATGTGCTATTCTTCATAGCACAGTACTGCAAAGATGACAGACAATGTACTCACATTTGCTGTCCTGCGGCAAAACAGGAGAGCAGTTGCGTTTTAGACCAAACATATGGTGACTGAATGCGACCTGGACGCATCAGTGATGGTGAGATACAGTATCTTGCTAAATCAAGTTATCCTGTTATTGTGCAATAACATATATTTATTTTTATCATATATTTATTTTCCCATCTGTATCATCTTAGTGAGCTTTTGTGAATTTTCACGCATTTTCTCATCCACACTGAAACGTCGGAAAACGCCTGAAAACGCTAGTGTGGACGGAGAGCGTTTTTAAACGAAAACCCGGTTTTCAAATGTATCCGGATTAATGTGGACGTATCCCCAGTTCATCCCAAATTTGTAAAATGGGATTGAGGTCAGGCTCTGTATGGGACAGTAAAGTTCTTCAAGCTCATCCAACTTTAAGGTCTTTATGGACCTTGCTTTGAGGTACAGTCATGCTGGAATAGAAAGGGGTCTTCCTCAAACTGTTGTCCCACAAAGTTGGAAGAACATCGTCCAAAACGTCTTGGTATGCTGAACGATTAAGTTTTCCCTTCACTGGAAGTAAGGGGCCCAGCACCTTTTTATTTTAAAAATAAAATATTTCGGTGGAATTTTCTGTGATAATTAGCAGCATGCAACAGACATGCAAAAACACCCTTACACAGAGTGCCTTTAAAGTCAACATGAAATCAAGACTGACCCTATTTACTTCCGTAATATGCTAGAAAAATGGCTTTGAAACAACTTTTCACCTGATGTCACCAAACCGTCAAACCCATCTCTAAAAACTCCCATTTTTACTTAAAAATATGTCAGAAACCATTTCTAAAAAAAGTCCCATTCCTGATATCAATAATGCGCAGAACTAGACATACACACACACACAGAGAAAGAACATGACATGTATAATAGGACTGTTTTATTGATTTCCCATTTCCATTATTCAGAGACTTTAGCTCCCACTAAGGCCTACTTATTGTGTCCACACACACAGTGTGTTCTCTGTGGGGACCCAGTATTTCAGGAGTTACTGGCAGACGCATGTGCTACTGTATGTTATGGCCTTGGTCATGCAATACTCCCAAAGTGACATTAATCCACGAGCACACACGCATACACAGAGACACAGACCGCTGCTTCACTAAAACGGCTCCGGTAATGAGACACTCCCTCAGAGACTCAACACACGCAGGTAGACGCACACAGACATTTTGGAAACATGCGAGCACTTGCGCACACACATGCATGCAGATACTGACAGAGAAGCTCTTTACTTGAGACCATCCACTTCAGTATACTTCGGAGAAGAGTTGTTTAAGTGCGGCACAACGGCAGATGGGGGGCTTGAGTCTGAGTGGAGGAGTGAAAGATGGGGGGGGGACGGAGGTGTGGAAAGGCAGTAAGTGGAGCTGAATTCAGCAGGACAGTAATTATTTCTCACTGCTGGTATTTGACACCTGCCAGGGAACGTCTGTAAAAACCCTGCAGCAAGCAGAACAGAACAACGCACAGAGAGAGAATCTCAGTGCTTAGGATTTGATTGATAACTGTACTTACTCCACTCGACCTTTTACCCCCTGGGCACTGAAAAGAACAATGAAACACTTCTTCATACTATGTGTAAGTATCTGTGAGAAAAAGTGAGAGAATCTGCCTCTGTGTGTGTGCGCGGCCTCGTGCACATGCATGTTTCCGTAGTAGACATTTGCTTCCTGCACTGTAAATCACTATTACGCTCTGCTATTGCAATTTTATAGTGTCACCTCACAAATCCCACCCGCTCAATTCAATCACACCCATTGTTCTTTGACGGGTCCTGCTGAGGATGTGATATTCCCAGCCAACATGACACCTCTGTCGTGCTGGCTGCCTTCATAAAGACGTGTAAGGCAACATTTCTCAAAAACACAATTTGGACAAGATTTCTGCAAGCAAGGCTGAGGCAGCACTCTTTGTAAATGAAACAACAACAACAAAAAAACACAAATCTGTAGTTTGGTGGCGGACATGACCTTTTAAACATGCTATAGTTCAACTAAATTTAAGATTGTTTATTTAACCATGAAGTTGTTTGCATTTTCATGACACTCATTTGACTATTAAGTTGTGTGAAGAGTTTATTCTGCCTATCTCTTTGTTTTCTTGTGTTTTCTCTTTGTTTTCTTGGTTTAAAGAGTGTTATTTGTGGCAGTGTTGTAGTCGAGACCACCTCACTCGAGTCCGAGTCGACACCGAGACCAGAGAGAGTCGAGTTCGAGTCAAGACCGAGTCCATAGAGAGTCGAGCCCGAGTCGAGACCGAGACCAGTGAGGGTTGATTACCTAATTTACTTTTATTTACTTCGAGAAATCTTTTTTTTTTTTTTACTGAATTTACTTAGAGTTTAAAAAATATGATCAGTTTAGGGTAAAAAGGCCACATAGTAGGTGGTGTTAAAAGTAATTTTATTACAATTTGTCATGCGTAGTTGCGCACTAGAAAATCACCAATCACTGGGCGTGTCAATCAATTTAAAGAAATATTTTATTAACATACATTAATAATCATGAAAAATATTTTTAATTGAACTCGAGTGGACTCGGGAATAATTCCGAGTCCTAAAAAAAAAAAATGTTCGAGTACGAGTCAATTCCGAGTCCAAATGGACACGAGTCCATGACAAGACCAAGACCATTAAAATATGGTCTCGAGACCGAGTCCGAGTCTCGAGTACTACAACACTGATTTGTGGGCATATAATGTGATGCATTGCTCATTTAATTATTAAAAATCTGTTTAAAAATTGCTCAAAATACACATTTTTATTGAACATGTTTTCAATTTCTGAATTAAAATTAAGATTTTTTTTGTGTGATGCCAAAAACATCTAGTCGGAAACTATCTACAGATTGTTAAAAAGTGTCATTGAAAAGCTGTATTCTTGAAAAAAAAAAAATGTTTGGCATATAGCATGGCATGATATTTTACTAGCAGTTGTGTTTTAAAATGAAAAATGAACAATGAATCAAGGTCGTTATTATTTGTTATGCCATATTTATATTGGATTTTACACACACATTTTCCTACAAATAGAGAAATATACATAAATACATACTATGCATGTATATTTCCCCATTTGTAGGAAAAGGCGTGTGTGTACATACTACATACCATTTTTTACCATTAAATATTTTATTTTAAAATAATTATTAAGGTGTGCTCTCATGTAGTCAAGGTGCAAGGAAACTATGTTAATTTTACTAGATGGTTATGCCACTTGACATTTGTAGAGTTATTAAATCAAACTTTTTATAGGAAATGCTATTAAAATTTCTCAAAAATGTGCAAAACCGACAAAGACTGCATTTCTAAAAACCTGGCACATGCGTTTTCAACAGACATCCTCATTTGGCCTTGACCCTTCTACTGCACATTTATGAGAATTATGCAGAACAGAATACATGGTAAAATCCCATCTTTCCTTTCAGATGAAGAGAGCATTATACTGATAAACATGAGAATTAAAGATTTTTCAAACTATCCAGTGTTTAATTTAGTACATTAGTGTCCATGTTTATATACATGTGTAAATCTGGGTGCTATTTACACAATGCAGCTGAAAGCTGCTTTTGTCTGGAGCAGGAATGACACACACACAGACTTCTTTCTTCCAGACATATTTTTTGAAATTTGAACATCCTGTCAAAACATGAGCAGATTGCAGCATGCACAAAAATATAAACTTCTGCCTTTATTAAATATTATGTTTCCCTCTCTGTGCATACATACAGGCTTACTTTAAAGCTATTTTTAGGGTTTCTTGGTGTTTAGCAGTGCAGAGATGGTCAGAAGATCCTCAAATTGCATTTTTTGATGGCTAAGGATGAAAGAGATTAGTTGAAAATTAGAGGCTTTCATATTTACTCTGCTGGTGTTTTTGTCTTGTTGTGCCGCTCTATAAACCAAGGCGCTTTGCAGAACGTTTCTTCAGAAGTTCGTAAGCTACTGCCTCGGTATGCGTGTTTGTTTTTGCAATCAGAGCCTGTTCTGTGGCTTATTGGTTTAGTGTAATTTGGGAGTAGCTCTATTAAAAGAGATGCTTTTGTTGAAACAACATTTTGACAGCGTTCCCCATGCACCTCCCAGAACATTATGGTTACAGTGTGGGATACAGGCTTCATATAGCTGAACGAAGACAGACTTGAGGAAAGTGACCACACGACCATCCCTCTGACCATACTTAGACACGGTAACAGTGACTTGACTGCAGGAGAGAGCATGTGTGCATGTGCGTGTGTGTATGAGAGAGAGAGAGAGTACAGTAGCAATAGTAGGCTTCTTGCTTGGGTTGGCATGGTCTTGGTGAGCGAGAATTAAACATAGCACTGCTGACAGAGAGAAATGCCTTATACAAACAAGATCCACTCTCAGAGAGACGGCGCGAGGGGGACATCGAGAGGGGAGAACGATTAAGTAGAAAAAGCACAATAAAATGACCAAAAACTACATTTTTAGATCCTAATCCTAGAATGTCCACATTTGAACCTAGCTTAAAAGATAAAGCAACCTATACCAGTCAATTTGTTATCTAACTCAACTAACAAATGAAAACTTTAAAACGTTTGTTCATCTAATGAGCTCAAAAAAAATCTTGTCAAGGCAGCTTAAGACTGTTTAGCTTTTAACAGTTCAAAGAATTACAAACCTCATTAGCTGTGCTCCAAATCAGAGGCTCCATCCTTCGAAGGCAGCAAACTTCAAAGGCAACGCGTTGTGAAATGGGACGTTCTAGCCTGTAACAAAAGGATTGTTCAGCGTCAGATTTGTACAACTTGGTCCATGCATGTACATAATAAAGAGTAGTAGCCAATCTTAGTTATACATTTAAAATACTTGTATTTAAAAGTGTATTCCGGCAATTGTGAAAGGCTTTGTCGTGCCGCATTCGGCTTTTGAAGGTGCAGTCTCTGAATTAAGATCCAGCTATTCTTTCACTCTTAGGTTTGATTTTCAAAGCCTATACAACACTCTTAAAAACACTATTTTCTACTATAAACAACCTTTTGTGCAATGGAAAGATTCCATGGATATTAAACCAATGGCAATTAAGATCCTTAAGAGTTTACATGGCATGGGTTTTAATGCCTCTTAAAACTAAAAGCAATATATATATATATATATATATATATATATATATAGTTATGTATGTTAACTCACATAGTTGCAATGCTATGCACATTGCCTATACCTCAACACATCCACAAATCTCAAATATGGTAAGATCAACAAATGTTAATTCAGTAGTAGCCTAATATGAACTCTGAAACAAATGGCAACTAACTAACACAGTGACAACAAAAGGGACCTTATGGTGGAAAAATACGTGATGGGAGAAAAAACATTTTTTTTCAAAGCTTTCAAAGAATATTTGCGTTATCTCGCAAAATTTGTACGTTCGGATCCTGTTTAATGTCCCGCTGGCAGTGTTTCAGACAGCTCCGTACTTTAGCAGTGGAGCGGTTATTATAAAGAAATATAGTCAGTGCCTAGTTGTTCAGTAAAGTTGGCACCAGCGAGCTATTCATACATTCGAACTTCACGGATCAATCATGAGCTCAACGTTGTAAAAAACAAATGACAGCTCTTTCCAATTAACGTAGACAGCGAGTTACAACCATAGACTGTAAAAAAATAGGTTGCAATCTAATGTTCCTCAAAACAAGCCTTATAATATCTCAACAGCTGAGAGTCAAGTCTAAAGGGATCATCTGCAAAAGGCAAAAGTTTTTAATAACTTCAATGTAACACACTATACCGTCACCAAATTCAATTCACACATCACTGCTCTCATGCTGGTTACTACAACACTTAGTTTGGCAAGCGATAAAAAATGAAATAGGCCTATTGTTTTCAGTTTACACAAATGAGGTTAGTAGCCAGCTTACAGTTACACAACCATAGCTTTTGCATGATAATTGCTTACTGAATTGGTGTTGTTATGGTTGGTGTTATTGATGGTGTTACACTGTATAATAGTTAAGTTATTGAACATTTTTAACAACATTGGTAATTGATTTTATTTCATAAATCATAAAAACATCATAAAAACTAAGTGTTGTAGTATATAACCAGCAGGAGAGCGAAATGACGAAACTGAGCAAAACTGAATTTGATGACAGTACAGTTTGTTACAGTAAAGTTATTGAATATTTTTCATAATAAATCATACAAATATATGCAAAAGCAAATTTTTTCAAACTAACAAAGTGTTGTTATATGACCAGTAGGGGACCATTGACATGTAAATGAATTTGGTGACACTACCGTGTGTAACATTAATGACTATTTTTGTAGTAGTATTTTTCAGGTTTTGCACTTTGCAGACGGTCCCTTCTGATTGGTCTCTCAGCCGTCTGCTCATTATGATATTATAAGCCTCGTTGAGGAAAATTAGGTTGTAGCTCCCGTTGTCTACATTAATATTATTGGAAAGAGGTGTCATTTGTGTTTTAACAACGTTTAGCTCACAAGTTTTTGAGCCAGGAATCTGTGAATATATTGCCAACTTTACTGAACTCCTTGAACTAAGCACTGACAATATTTCTTCAGAAATCATTTATAATACATTTAATACTTTGTGATACACTACACTCAGCCAGGTAAGATTGTATCACATTAAAACAAACATATTAAGATGAACGGCATTTATTTTAAATAGAAATCCTTTGTGACATTATAAATGAATTTACAGTCACATTAGATTAATTTAATGCATCCTTGCTGAATAGAAGTATAACTTTTTACTGACTTTAAATCCCAGATTTCCAGTGTAGTGTCAAACTTCTAAAATTCATGAAGCCAAATCTGCGTATACAAACTTGTACCCAGAGGATGCGGCACATATCAATACACACTTACATAAGAGTCATTCCTACCAACAGCGTACATACTTAAGCTCCGTCTCTTTCCTTTCTCGCTCTCCTTTTCCCTGTCTGTCCTATTCTCTCTCTGTCACACATAACACTCAGGCACATAGTCACACCTGGTCTTCATCAGTCAGTGGGCTCTTCAAAGAGCGGCTAATGCCCAAGACTAGGAGAAAAAACACAGACCTAGACAATCTGGCATCCAACAGCTTTTTCTCAGGTTGGCAAAGAGGTGAAAGGTTTACAGAGGCTCAGACAGCTCTTCCCTCTGCACCTCTGTCTGGGTGAGTGTCTCAATGCCTTCCTGATCTCATAAGTGTATGCAGGATGGTCTTGCTTCATACACCCCCACAGATCCGTACAGAGATCAGTACGGATCAAGGACACCTTCATCAACACAAGGCTAAAGAAATGTGTTCCTTACTCATATTATATTTAAAGAGGAAATTCACTATAGCACGCACCATATTTTTTTTCTAATGTGGCCTATGTTATTTGTGGAGGATTCAGTAGTCTACCACAATCTGCCATAGTTTCAAACAGAATACATGTAAAAGAAAGCCAGGTAAGACACTATGCTGAAATTAATGAGGATGAAAAACTAGGCTTTGATGGAGAAACTTGTCTCTATAAAGGCCCATACTGTAAATGTCCTAGCCCATACAAAAATTAAAAAGTATTATTGCATTTTATTAAGTATACTTAGTTGAAAAGTTCAAGTATGTATACTTTATGTTGCAAGTATACTACTAACAATACTCTCCTGTTCGAACAAATCTTTTTCTGAGTCAATTCCTTCATTTCGTTCGTTGAATGAACCAAATGACACGAAAAAAGATTTGTTCATTTTGATGAACGAGTTCAAACTGCCAGAGTCACGAACGGGCATCACAGAACAGAGCAAGGCGACCATTTGAGGTTATAAAACTTTGTTGTTGTTGTTGTTTTAAGTAGCTATCGTTTCGCTTGATAAGACCCTTATTCATCGTCTGGAATCGTTTAAAGCCCTTTGAACAGTTTGCAGTTTGCACTGAAACAAACTATCTTTTAACTAACTAAGTGTATATGGAGAAAAATCCTGGAATGTTTTCATCAAAAACCTTAATTTCTTCTCGACTGAAGAAATAATGATATGGATATCTTGGATGAAGGAGAGAGTAAATTATCAGCAAAAGTTTTTTTGTTTGTTTGTTTTTTAGTGAACTAAGACCGATCTAAAACGACAGGCGTAGGCCTATTCCTGCTGAATCCCTAAAACGGAATTATTTGAGGAGACAGCCATTTGTAACTGTTAGTGGTTACCGAAACCACGTTGAAAGTTATAGATTGCACAAAATTTCTATCCCACATTGCACTGCTCATTCGCTCACTCGTTTTCATTCAATGACTAATTTAGGGAATAGTGATTGAGGGTTTAGATTTCGGATTCAGCCCTTGTTTTATTTTCAAGCGCCCATTTTCAAATCAGCTACTGTTAGCCTACTTTAACAAATTTAGTTTTAATACTTGTTAAATTTAGGCCTACCGTTCGTCCAAGGGAAAATGTGCTGCAGCAGTGCGTGCATTGCCATCTGTTTGCTTACGTTCCGAATCCTGCACATGCGCGTAACGTAACTTCCTCGCGGGAGTCGACTCGTGAACAAAAATTAATTCGGCTTGCAATAGACGATGAATGGGGCGAAAAAGTCCTTGCAACTCAACATATTCGCCTCACATATTCTGCAGCTTGTGCAGTCAGTCACGTCCGTGGCTCTTATGAACCTGTTGGTGAATCAAAGACTGGGCAAGTTCAACAAACAAAGAAATAATAACTCTCTAAGCATCGAACAATCGGTTCTTTAAGTGTGCTCCACAACACAGCACGTCTGGATAGGCCTATGTTACTGTTGCTCTGTGTCATATAATCATTATGTAAAAGCACCCAAAAGCATCTTATGAAAATTTCTTTACCACCTGCACGTTTTCCGTGGCCATAATAGCACAATGTTAATTAAACCAAGAAAATTGTGCTGAATTTTCTGAATTAGGTGCGATTTATAATGGGCCTAATTTACATAGAAAGTATGCCTGCTTTAATTACTTTATTTACATACTCATGTTGCAGTGCTATTTCAGCACATTTTGCGAATATTGAATTGGATTGCGGATGGTTAATGACTTGTTGATTATTTTAACACTTTGGTTCCCTTTATGTTGCTATTTTTCAGTTTTTATAGTTGTGGTAAAGCAAATCAAAATCTTACCCCACCTTAATGGGGTAACTGCAAAATATAGGCTACACCTCTAAGGTATAGCCTAGATATGATCTTCTGTAGGCTATTATATTTTTTATACACAACTCAGTACAGTCATTTCAACACCCTTATTTGTTAAAGGGATACTCCACTTTTTTGGAAATAGGCTCATTCCCCCAGAGTTAAACAGTTCAAATTACCGTTTTCAAATCCATCCAGCCGCTTTTCTGATATTTAGAAGAATATCAGTGACCAGACAGTTTCTGGTCTAATTGACTTCCATAGTAGAAAAAAATACTATTGAAGTCAATGAGACCAGAAACTGTCTGGTTACTGATATTCTACTAAATATCAAAAAAAAAAAAATCGGCTCAATACATTCGAAAACAGTAAAACCCAACTGTTTAACTCTTTGGGAGTGGTAAAATAAGCCTATTTCCAAAAAAAAGTGGAGTATCCCTTGAAGTGATCACCATGCATGGCGATTAAAATCGTACAGAATGAGAGATTATGCTCAGAAATGTTTTTATTACATTTGATACATTTAAAGTAGGCCATTCTCAACTTTTTTCTCTCTCTCTTTTTATAGGCAGTCGATATTGATGAGAACTGAGAGGGAAATTTGTATGTAGACCACTGGGAGAAGCTCCGGAGGGAGGGAGAGACAGACAAAAGAAATGAATGAAAAGGAGAAGGAGAGTTCTGTGAGATGTGTAATTTGTATTTTGCCAACAAAAGCTCTTATCCCTATACAGTCCACCTTCACGAGGCCACAGTTTGCACCTCCTACTATTGTTGGCCAGAAAGTAAAACACTGTGAGGGAGGGAGAGTGTTAAACAGAAAGAGAGATTTGGGACTGAGGTTGCTTCGTTGTCAGACTCCTACCGTTTTCTGCCTGACAGAGTTTATTTAGAGATAATCTCTGCTCTTTCATCCCCTCTGGACTATCTTTCTTTTTACTCTCTCTCACGCTCTCTCACACACTCTTTGGCTTGCTGTTTCTCCGGTGGTGTGGGGTTAGAGGTTGGTGGGAGGGTCGCAACGGTTTTTGGACTCGTTTAACACGAGCTGCTGATGAGCTTTGTGACTGGAGGCGGTCAAAAATAAAGTTGCCAAACTGTGACACAAACATGTGCACCCAACAAACAGGTCTTGAATTACGGGTAGAGAGAGTGTTTTGCACCCCGACTGTGAATACTTTCTCTTATCTAATATTCCAGTTTTTAAACAACATATATTTATTTAAGAATCAACACTGCATAAGACAGACCATTTGAGAGCCAGTTACGTCACTTGCACGTATTGTGGTGGCAGAAAAACAGTGGTAAAATGTGGAGGAAAATGCCTACAATTCACAGAAAAAGAGAAAAGATCAGAAAAGATGAAGAAGCCCTTTGAAGCCAAACACAGACATTTGTGGTTGCAGGCGATGGACTAGATGAAACCTGCGATGATTAGTCTCAAGCATGAATTTGATGTACTGTAAACTACAAGGTCTACATAATATTCAAAAATGTATATCAAAGGGGACATAATGTATTAACCCAAGTTACAGCATGAATATTTAAACCTATAACATTTTACATAGATAACATTCAACATACAACACTTTAAACATTTGTTTAATATGGTTAATATTTAATATCTCAGACTTTATAAGAAAAAAAGAGAGAATAACAATTTTATATCTCCCAGTTCTGATTTCTCTATTCTGAATTGTGAGAGATAAACTTACATTTTTTATTCTTTTTCAACGTGCAGCCTCACTAACTGCTACTGCAAAACTTTCGTTTTCAGTCCTCACACACACACACACACACACAAAACATCATCTCTGTTTGCAAACATCCAAATGATCTATTGCATTTAGATTTTTTTGCTCAAAAAAGTTGCCCTGTGTATCATGACCTTCAGTATCTTATGCAATGTTGCTTTGCAAGCATCCATCCATTCTCTAAACTGCTAGTCTTCTGCAGGGTCACGGGAATGCTGGAGCAATTCCCAACATCTCGGCCTGCAGGAGGGGGAACACCCTGGACTGTTGGACAGGTGGCCAGCAAGCTTGTTTTTTTTTATTTTTTTTAAAGACAAAAGTGATGGACCCAAGCTGAATGCTGGGACACTGGGACAAGCTGTATTATCTAAAACGGATATCTCAACCAATCGGATAAAACAAACTCTCAGCTCCTCATATTTGTGTGTGTGTGTGTAAGGGGTGAATAAAAGAAGTGGTGAATGGGGTGATGGCAGCTTTGTGAGTAAAGAAACAGAGAACTGGGGAAGAGACGTGGCTCTTTGTCCACCCCCTCAGTCATTAGTAGTAAGAGAGGAGTCCTCTCTCAGCCTCTTTCAGTCCGTTTCATCTAAGTCCCTCTCTCTCACTCTCTCGCTCTCATTTCTCTCGAATCCGGCAGATTGCATGTCACTTTAAAACTCCTGTTCTCTCTCTCTCTCTTTTGCCCTCGCTCCCTCCTCTATCACTTTTTCTTTTTGATGTTGGCCTGATCAGCGATGTTTGAACTGAAAAATCCAACAGCTAAAAATAGAACTTGAACAAGCTGAAAATTGGCTTTAATCTGCTTGCGTTTCGTAAAGTGTGTGTATATGTGCGAGTGTCTGCGTGTGTGTGTGTTAGGGTACGTTAAGAATCCTAGTGGGTAAACATGCATAATAATCATAGATTTATTCTGACCGAAAGCAAGGTTATGAGTTTACATAAACCTCAATAATAATTCTCATGTGTTTTGTGGAAGAGCCAAGATTCTCTGTCTCTTTCATAACCATGAATAGGAATCATTCAACATTAGCAGCCAGCATGTGTGATATGTGGTAGCAGTAAAGACTGGATTTGTAGTACAAGAAGCATCAAAAGCAAGGGAATACCGTTGTATTAGTCTGATCTGTTGCCCATTATGTGTATGGCATACTGCATACTTGTACATTTCATTCATGTGCAGTTCTGCTGTCAAATTGATTAATCGTGATTAGTAAAAGTTTGTTTATTTAATGTGCACACACACACACACACATATATATATATATATATATATATATATACACTGTATACATAACACATGTAAACACAAACTTTTATTTTAGAATTGATTAATTACAATTAATCGATACAGCACTCAAAATAACATTTGACATGTATATACTTTCTCATCCTAAGAGAAACAAGAGGTTTAAACCACCTTGTGAGGTATAATCAATCTCAAGACCCACCACAAACTGTTTAGAGTGAAAAAAAGTGTTTTTATTCCCTTTTCGTTCATATTATTGTCATATTCATTGAAGTGGACTAATGATTCATTGACATGGAACTTGCAGTTTGGTGAGTCATATTTTGGATACAGTAGCTGCTCTGATGGATTTGAGTTTATTCAGTGAACAATTTGTGAAACTGATTTAGACCGCCAAGTTATACATTTGTGAGTCTTTCTGAATGATTAATTAAAAGAACAGAGTCATAAAAACCATTTATTTGTGATTCTGACTGCACATGCAGGTTAACTGTTGTCACAAGTAAGTATTTTTTATGTTAATTTAGTTAATTTATAAACTTGCTGTTAAAGTTTATACTGCATACAAATGAGCGTGTACATGAACCAAGATTGAACAGATGACTCACAAGGACACCCCAAATCAAATCCATCTCCTTCCCACCATCAATCAATGCATTTATCAAACTACAGTTGATGAAATTCACCTTTCTGGCATGTATGCACTTCAAAGAACCCTCTTTCAAGCACTGCTTATAATATATGAAAATGGATGTGCTTTTGGTGTTCATGTTAACATGAACACATTCTAAATATTTGGTGGCTTTAACAATTTACAAATTTTCACAGTTCAGAATCAGAACCTTTGGAAATATTTGTTCTAGTTTTGTGATGTGTAGCCATTGTGAAAACCAAATTTTGAGAAGCTTGAAGGGAAAAAAAAAATCTTTCATAAAAGATCAGATAGATCTAAAATAACTTTAGAGAGCTGTGAATTATTTAAAAGGATGATGTCACCGGCTTATTGGATTGGCTGTTAACTGTGACATGGTTGGCGATTCTTCAAAGACAAACACACATATGCAAGGACATACTTTAACTCTTCCACCCAGTGATTCAGTGCATGGTTAAAAACAGAATACTTGTCCGTACAACAACGGTAAACACTGTTTGCAGTGAGATTAGCATTGTATTTGCATTTTCCCTCATAATTCACTGCTAGCATGACGGCCATTCATTTTAGTATTACTGCAGATCATACTGGAGGCTTACTCAACATAACTGTGACTGTACGGAGCACTACTAAATAACAACGTAGTGACAGTTCATCTAA